ATCGAGTGAAACGGTCTAAACACGCTAAGACGTCAGGGTATCTGTTCGAATCTGACAATGGTCCTACCAAATCAAAATAAACATGGTTGAAACGAGCTTCGGCAGTCTTGAAAGTGCCTTTGTTCTGTTTAGCCACCTTTGATTTCTGGCAGCTTATACAGGAGTGTGACCACTCCTTTGTGTGTTTATTCATTCCAGACCAACAAAATCGTTCCGAGATGAGATTGATGGCTGCTCGCACACCTGGATGAAACAGTTTGTGCGACGTAATGAAGACGTCGCGTCAGTAATGTTTCGACACGATTAGGCAATCCATGCCAGTAGGCGTTACATAGTAACCTTTTCATACCTGTTCTCATTTGTTTGATCCGTAGTTTTCAGGGCTGTCAAAGATATCTCGTAGTGAGGGTCAGTTTCTTCATTTTGAAACTAGGGGAGTTTAAGGTCAAATCCTTGGAGACTGTCCATGGGAGTTGTACGAAACGAGGCGTCTTCCGCTATATTTTCTGCCACAGAAATATGTATATCTGGAGTAAACCTCGAAATGTGTTCCTGCTATCGAGAATTGCGAGTACATGTATGAAGACGAGCTTAGAGAAAAAGTAAGAGGTTTATGGCCTATGAACAGAGTGAATTATGGAACTTCCACAAAGTGTTGAAATTGCCGTAGAGCGTAATACATGGCTAAGTATTCCCTGCAGAAAGTGCCTTACTTCAATTTAGTGTCTTTTAGTCGTCTCGAGAATAATGCCAAAGGCTGTCAGTCGTTGTTTTTCCTTTTTTGTAAGACTTCGACTGTTCAAACGGATGCACACGGTTCGATAACGATGAATGCCTTGATGTCCTGGTATGCGAACAGTATTGCTTTAGAGATAATTTATTTACTTTCGGAGAACGTTCTCTAAAGATGTCATCCAAGCTGATAAGTCTCGCATTTCCACGAAGTTGGTCACTTAAAGGTTTTAAAAAAGACACGCAATAATGTATGAACCGTCCATAGAAACCTATCAGGTCGTTGAATGTGCGTAGTTGCTTGACGATGAACGATTCTGGGTGAACCAGAATGGCCGCCACTCAGCTTTTCAGAGGGCGAGTGCCTTGAACATCAATAGTGTGTCCGAGAAAATCTAGGGAGTCAGATCCAGGTTGGCATTTCTGAATGTTTACAGTAATGACGTGCTTTTGCCTACCTACTTACTTTCTTACGCCTGTTACTCCTAATGGAGCATAGGCCGCCGACCAGTATTCTCCAACACACTCTGTCCTAGGCCTTCTTTTCCACATCCATCCAATTCTTGTTCATTTTTCTCATATCTATCTCCATTTCCCGGCGTAATGTGTTCCTTGTTTTTCCTCTCCTCCTTTGACATTGAGGATTCCATGTGAGGGCTTGTTTTGTGATGCAGTTCGGTGTTTTCCTCAATGTATGTCTTATCTACTTCCAGTGCTTCTTCCTGATTTCTTCCTCCACTGGGATCTGATTTGTTCTCTCAAACAGTAGGTTGTTGCTAATAGTGTCTAGCCAACGGATCCGAAGTATTTTACGTAGTCAACTGTTACTAAACACCTGTATCTTCTGGATAATGGCTTTTGTAGTTCTCCAGGTTTCAGTCCCATACAGTAGAACTTTCTTGACAATTTTTTTAAAGATCTTGACGTTGGTGTTAATTGCCAACTCCTTTGAGTTCCATATGTTCTTCAGTTGTAAATATGCTGCTCTCGCTTTGCCGATCCGCTTTCACATCTGCATCAGATCCAACATATTCATCAATGATGATGCCCAAATATGTAAAGGTTTGTACATCCTCCAAATCTTCTCCGTCAATTATGATTGGATTGGTGAATGCTGTGATGTGCCGGAGAATCTTGCTTTTCCCTTTGTGTATATTGAGCAAGGGCTTGGGATCGTCAGTAACCCCCGGAGTGACTACGGGCGGAATTGCCGTGCTTTTGAAGTTGTTCTAAAACAATGTCCAGATACTATGGACGATTTTCTCTGTTCGGAACTGCAATCAAGCAGTCATCTACATACGCGTACATGAAGTTCAGACCTCGAAAAACGTCATCCATGAATCTTTGGAAAGTTTATGTAGCATTGCTTAAACCAAAAGGCACGCTCAAAAATCCGTAGAATGGGAAGGGGCTGATGATATCTGTTTTAAGTGCGTCTTCCGCAACAACAGGAATTTGGCTATATGCTTTAATCGGGTTGACATTTCGGAAATCTGTTTTACATTATTATGGCAGTTTTCAGGCCGTGGGTGTTCGGCGAGGGATAACGATCGTGAGTGTTCATCACATAAAGTTGTCGTTCATCACCAGCTGGACGCCAGTCGTTGCTATCCTTTTTAGGGTCCATGTGCAATGGAAATGACCACGAACTGTTTGATGGTCGAGTAATTTCCTGGTCTATCATGTGGTCTATTTCGTTTTCGGACAGCCTTAGCTATCTCGGGAGACAGTCGGTATGTTTCCGCAAATGCAGGTGATGTGGTGTGTGACATTACTAGATACGCTGTGTTCACCGGCTACGGCTATAATTGACGTATGTTGGTTGGTAATTTCCCCGTGAGCTATTTCAAAACGGACAGTCTGAGGAACCGCAGGACCATCTACAATTTCTAGAAGACGTACCGTGGGTGTTGTGGTACAGTCACTAATCATAGTTATTTGTCTCTCTTGGTCTAGAAGCAGATCGTTCTCGTCACGGGCCTTTTATGTAACGTTCGTGGTTATGATGAACACTGAAATAACGAGTCAGTTTTTAACAAAGGTCTTCGGTGTCGATTTGTATTGTCTGAGGCTTTTTTGACAAAACAAACGTCGGCGCTTGGGGTTCTGGTAATCTCCAGAACTCGTCGACAGATGAAGCCAGTTCGTCCACGGCGTTATTTTGGAATGAAGTAAGAGCTGCCTGGACCTGTCGGAAGAGCTTGAATTCGAGGAGCTTACTAAGCAGACCCTCATCAAATATATGTTGATCAATCACCTCTCACATTCGTAGAAATATTCGTGCTGCCGAGCCATGTTGCGACTCCACCTCCTAGAAAAGCTGGTCTAACCTTTGTCAACGTTTAAGAATAGCCTTCTTTAATTATTATTATTATTATAAGCTTTATTCAACATTATATTTGTGGTACACTATTGAATTCTCAGCATAAAGTATTTCAACAAGTTTCCTTTTCTTATACCTTGATCGATCCTGACGATAAATATTGAGTGACGGCCAGTTAGATGTTAGGAGTTCGATAATCGACATCTGAATAATGTTCATTCGTTTCAATGCATATTGCAAGTCACCGTGATGTCGCTGGTTGTACCTTTTTGTAATCCGTACAGCGAAAGGTTGTAAACTTTTCGTAAACGCGCCTGAATAGGTTGTGAGCTCAATAGACATAATAGTGTGTTAAAACAAACAAGAAAACAGATAACTTGACGAAATATCTAGATGGGAGGGACAGGTAGCCCAGATATTCAAGCAGGCCGCCTAAGTTCCCGAAAAATAACTGTTGAACATGATTTGTGTGACATACCTGTTGAAATAGATTGGTAGTGCCTTGACTACAACACATAATTTTACTCGTGGTTTTGTCACGTCGTGCTCGAGAAAGTCAGCTCTTGGGTAGCAGAACCAGGCTTCTCTATTATCGGGCCAGGATGGTGAAGATGCCACAGGTATTCAGAGTTTGACAACGCTTTAACCAGTAACACCTTCTAACATGAAGTGCACCCACCAAGTAAAATCAAAAGACAGAAGCGAGGAGATCGTAGATATATTTGATGAGCCATCAATATATCGAGGATCGTCTGAACTAATCTGGCTAGCGATTGAGGCAAATGTTGAGCACGGCGTTACCACGCGTGATCTGGTGCGAATGCTTGACCGAGCGCCTTCAGCTAAATGAGTCCACTAAAACTGTGGTCAGCATCCAATGTCGAAAACTTACAGAGCTATTTATTTTGGGGATTTATTCACCCCTACAATGGCATGATTTGAAAGGTGAGGGGTGAAATAATTAAAATATGAAACAATTCAGGTGTTCGTTCCGTCATAATGAAGATGAAATATGTCAGTGGGTGAAAAAATATGTCCAAAAATACAACAACGACACTATTGTACGTAAAAGTAAAAAAAATTAAAATATGATATAAATTTTACAATAAGTAACGGACTCACAGTGTACGGATTGTTGCTCCAGATCACGTCGGGCTCACCACTAAAGATTCCGAATGTATTCGGAGTTTGACAACTCTTCTATACGTGAGACCTTTATAATTAGAGTATACCAACCCAGTCAGATCAGATGTCAGAAATGAAGTGGTTCGAAGATATATCAGGAAATATATCGACATGTCGAGGAGCGTTTGTTCTAAGCTGACTAGCAGTTACAAGGGAGAGGATAGCACGACGTGCCCACTCGTGGTCTGGTGCGTATGTGTGACCAAGCGCCTTTGGCTAGGCTTTGTCCTGTAAAGCTGATGAGGTCAGCATCACTGTTGAAAACTTTGAGGATTTATTGACCGCTAAACACGTGATAACTCACAACATCTGGTAACTGAAACATCCAGAACCCTGTCAAATATCACTTTTCTTCTATTCGAAAAATAGAGTTTACGAGGACTTTTTTAAAAAGTTTACAAACTCAGAACAAATTAGTTTACAGACGACTATCAACATTCCTATTGGATCACGAACGGACGGAACCTATAGGTCGATATGTGAGTGAAGCTCCATCTTTCAATAAATCTGAAAGAAATTTAGGTTAACTGAGAGACTACCATTATCAGGACTCACACGGCCATAAAGCCTTCTGTCCTTCCAAATCAAAACTGAAACTTATACATTGTACACCAGCCCGCCATTTCGGAGCCAGGACAAAAGGTTCTTCTGGAAGAAATCCGTTTGGGTTGTATCAAGGTAAACTTATCTGCATGGTGTTATATATTCAAGTCAGAGAAGTCGTTAAGCAGATAAGATTTTTCAAGAAGTGGTTATTCATATGACTTCTAAGAGGCTACCCGCTGACACTTGTGACAGGCCGCTTTATAAAATAGTGGTTGTAGGTGATGGAGGTGTTGGAAAGTCTGCACTAACAATCCAGGTAACAAAACCAGACGTATATTATGCCATTTAGTACTTCCAGAGAATGTTTCTTGAAGAACATGATCCTACGATTGAGGACTCATACATCCAGAACGCTGAGATCGATAATGAGCTGTGTATGTTGTATGGTAAGTTCTTTGATTTTGTTACTTCTTGCGTGTATGGCATAGATATGAGTTCTCCTTTCTTTTCTGTTGTCTGAAACAAAAAAAACTAGAGAATATCTGGATCAGAACCATTAGGTACACCGCTTGTAACGAAATAGATATTATGTGCCTGTGGATTTACTACGATAGTGCAAATTTATCGACAGTTTTGCGCCATGCTACGTTGATACTCCATCAAGCACTATTTTCTACATCCACTTTCAGCAATAAATTAGCAAATATCAACGATATAGTATGTTAATTCGTGTGCATGTAGCATAAGAGGAATAAGTTTGGCTGATAGTTTTTATGTTGAGCTTTATAAGCTTCTGTAAGCATCTTTGTTTACCATGTAGTTTGGCATGTGTATGACCAGTTACCATGACAATTAGCAAGTATTTATGATTAGACTAATTTTACGATCTTAAAAAATTGGCTATTACATGCTTTGCGAATATGACAGTAACCCCATACTCTGCGTCGTTTGCCGACACTGAGGAATAAGTAACAGAACCGTGTGGTCGGTCTATGATAGCATCACTGTTTGGAAGATAACTGTATAGGTAGCAACTGTTGATCCGTTGCGTATTCGTGGTCGGGGTTCTAATTTCCGTAGGACTCTGTGATCCAACTGTGGCTTTTAGCTAGTCATAAGAAAGAGGAACACGCTTCAGTGTAAAAAGTTTCTCATAATTGCATTCCAACTGGATTATCCTCTCCGCATGGGACATCACATCTGCCTACTTATTAGTTGAACTTTTGGCTTTCCTATTATTCTGTTATATATTCTGTTGCTTATTCGTTTGGTCCTCTGTTGTGCCAAATTTACTTATGAATGAAAATGAGCGATAGACAATGATGAAGACGAAATTGATTATTAAATATATAGACTTATCAAAGAACTTGAATACAGAACAACGAGTGCTTATTAAGACCTATAGAATAATACAAACGTGTGTTCTCGGACCCGACGACTGTAGTAATATATGAAGCGCTTGTAGAGACCGTTAAATTGCTGTCCAGCAGCCCACTGCCCACCAACAACGTAGATCGACTCGACTGAATTTTTCAAGTTGTGCCTGTAATTAAAAGTGAAGAACACCAAAAGTTCTTGAGATCCTTAAGAATGACAAAGACGTTTGTGCGTCGTTCGGTGACATGGTTTAAAATCGGTTACGGTGACGAAATTTTTTCCTTTTTTTTTATCTTTCTCCTTGCTTAATTCTTTTTATTTCCTAATTGCGAACCATTCATGTTTACTTTCTAACCTCACCAATATTATCGTTTCTGTGACTCATGTTCTGTATCTCTTAATTGCTTCATCTCTGATGCAGCACGACAACCAGTAAATGCATATTTAATTCAGGTTCTGATCGTTTATGACTGGTTGATTAAGAATGGTGATCTGAAATATTTTTTGAATGAACTGAAATGCTAGTTAAAATCGGGAAACGAAAAGTGGTTCGGTCCGGTTATTTATCTACTTATTCAAACACAAACATTGGCACAGGGAGGTACCGAATATGTATGCGTCACACTTCGTCATTCGATATGTGTGAGGGCTAAATACTGCGTGGGTGTCCGATTAATTTCCATTGCTGATCATTCAAGTTTATAAAGACAAAAAATCTCAGAGGAGTCGGTTTGATTAAAACGTTTCCCGGAATTCCAGCTACTGTTATCATTTTAGGCTCTACTACTGTTCATAAGCAGCCAAATACGTAATCTGTATTCTCGCCCATCCTCAGATCATAAAAGACATCTACCGTTTTCGGACTATCCTCGTATTCATTTACCTGAGAATTTTTAAATCGATCAAAAGAGCTTATGACGATCTGCGCTACTAAAAAAATTGTCGAGTAAGTAACTGACATTACTAATGGCTTCTTACTTAAATAATGATGATCGAGTTGTAATTTATAACAGTCTATCATCACAAGTAACAAGGTTTTTATGTCCGATTCCCAAACTTCTGTTCAAGTACACCATATATATGCTTATTTGTTTATTTATTTATTTGAACACAAACATTGGTACAAAGGGGCACCAAATAGATATGCGCCACATAAATCATTCGATTTGTGTGAGGGCTGGGATACTGCCTGGGTGCCTAAACTGAAGCAGGATATATGCTACTAGAGGTGGTACCTATTTGTATGACTCAAACGTAAATCTTAATCTAAAATTCTTTCATCGAATCAGAGTAAACAACGGACGTCCTATTTAGTAAAGATCCTGAAAAAATACACCTAGTATTCTGTAAACGCTGATTGTAATGCCTAAAGGTTTGTAATATGACTCTCACCATTTAGACTGAGATCTCCCCAAAAACTGTTGGAATCAGAAACTAGGGTAGTAAAAGGGAGTGAAGCAATTGAGCTGATTGACCTCTTGATATAGTAATAGTAATCTACTTACCAGAGGTTTCATCTGTTTTGGTTGGTTGGTGTCCCGCAAAATGCCTTCCCCAATACAAAATGTTCATTTGTCCACCTAATGTAGGTGTGATGTTTGTCTGTTTACCAATGTCCACGTATATTGCGCTTACATTCACTATTCCGCAAAACTGAAGCATAACACCTGAGAGTATATGAAAATGATGCAATCCATTTACCAAATACAGGTTCGTGTACTCGGGTTTGAGTCACTTTTTGTACTAGGGCTAATGATAATGACCGGCTACCCAAACTAAATTTGGTGGAGCTGACCTTGAACCTTTGACCTAACGGCTGTAAGTCAAACGTCTTAACTGCCAAACCACGGCTCCACCAGAGTAATAGATACATACAAAAGACAAATGGTAGATCACAAGTGTCTGCATAGCACCGCTTGTATGTGATGGAACCATTAAAGTAGTACTGTGGTGTGGGTTACTGATATTCACACAAGTAGTATATGACGGTGGTCAGGCATAGGATGTATTTCAGTAGGTTGATGAGGAAAGAACGAGAACGAAACGCAATTGGTATGAAAACACATGAACAGTGAAATCTGAGACAATCGATTGATGTTTGCAACAGGAACAGTCAAATTTGATATGATGGATTGATATTTTGCAAATTAACGATTTAATATATGGTTCTCAGATTTTATTGAGATGCTCTGTAATTATGTGCTCAAATAGATTTGATTGTCCCCGTTGGTGTTCTTGTTCATTACAGTACTAATCTCATAAACAGAGTACTATGTAATTGTAAGTATAAGATTAATTTATGAAAAATTAATTGTGATTATACACAAAATGAAATCACTTCATGAATTTAGAGGCTAACGATTAAACTAATGGAATGCAGATTTCATGTTTAACTTTTATTAGGTAACGATTACAACCTGGGATTGAAAACCATAGCACAAATGGCTAAACCTCACTATTACATCTTCAAATTTTCCTACTGCATTAATCTGTGACATTTTTGTTTTCACCCGCTTGTTGTTCGTCTAGTTTTCCTTCTTACATCTCAATATTTTCGTTTAGTTATTTTGGCTGTTAGTTTCCTCTCATCACACTGATGGAAGTGTGGTAATGTGGGCTGATACAAATTTTTCCAATGTCCCACGTTATTAATATTTCTTCTACCTCCAGTTAATCTTGTCTATTGTACCCCTTTTATTTTGGTTGTTGGTTAGATATCTCACGCACATTTAAAAGTGATTGATTGTATAGGATCTGCTGTAAATGACTCACTTTTTTTAAGCAACTGTAAATCAAGCGATAATCCAGATTTATTTAAGACCTCGACCTCATTTAAAAATAATGCAGATTAATAAATTAAGCCAACGTTTTTCCTGTTTGTTCCCAGTACTGGACACTGCAGGACAGGAGGAGTTTAGTGCAATGCGAGAGCAGTATATGCGCATAGGTCAAGGATTTATTATTGTATACTCAGTGACAGATCCTCAGAGTTTTGAAGAAGTTCAGCGATTTCACAAAGAAATTTCACGGTGTAAAGACTGTGGTTCTTATCCCATGATATTGGCAGCAAATAAGATTGATTTGTCTCAACAACGCCAAGTTTCAGAAGAAGAGGGTAAACGTCTAGCCACTTATCTCCAAGTAAATTTTTTTATTTTAAACTGTATCTTTATTTCAATCATTTCTAATTATACACAACTAGTCAACTGTAGTATTATTTTGTATAATTTTACACTCGATATAGCTTTCTCCATAGGAGCAACCAAGTAGCTTATCGTTTAGTTGGGAAACCACCATAGATCAACTAGAAAACGATAGCTTCATATGTCATCACTGCTTTAGTCAGTGTATCCTGTAATACGTCATCCCAATCAAATGATAAGTTCTCTGGTTTTGTCAAATCCACGTGTATCTACATATTCAACTGCTTCCGTGGAGAAAGCTATATCGAGTGTCCAACCAAGCAACCACAACCTTTGTGGTTGGTAAAGGGCATAAGCAAAACAATAGGGATCTTCCTTGTATCATACTGACGGGCTGTTACTCAATTTTAGATTGACTGGTTTTGCCATGTGTATGCGAAAGTTGAAATCCTGTTCAGATTACTCGAGTAAGATACACAGGTAGCAACAAATAAAAATGTGTCAATTGTGCAACTAGTCTGTTTGGCGTTATTTGCTTCGGAAAACTGTTAGCTTGTAGTATTCATCCAAGTTATATGTAAATAATTTTCACGAAATCTACTAAATTGTTACAAGTGGGAGATGTATAAAATCTACAACGTGTACACTAGCTAGCATAGAATTAGTTCTTAAAGAGTCTACAAATAATTAAACAAAGACATCGCTCGTGACTTAGTCTATTTAGTGTTATTTATTTAACTAATTTTCGCATCATATTAGATTTCCGTGTTCATATTAGCTCGATCAGTCGATGATTAATGTGTTGAACTGATGCGCATTCGAATGTGAATTCAAGCATTTTCTTCATTGATTTTATACATCAGGAAATATTTCCAAATTTTTCTAGACACTATAAATGAATGAGATAAAATAAAAATTTGTCACCATCTGTATCAAATGACTGTACAGATTGGAATGTCATTTTTCTAGTTCATTTCATCAATGTAAGTATAAATCGTAAGTTGTCATACTAGTAAGTTGGTTGTATGATAATTATTTTACTCCATTCTTGTAGTATTTTCTTCATAAAATCGACACACAAAGCTAGTATTTTACAGTTTTCCTACAAACAGAATAGTTTGAACAAGATAAAAAGTTTTTCTAAAAAAACAGCTTATTCCATAATGATATCAATGATACAAATAAAACTAAATAATTTCCTTGTCAGCTTTAGTAATTTCATGAGAAATGAACAATCTTTATCTCCCACCCTTATATATATATATATATATATATATTCTAAAATGCTTTCTTTTTCTCCCAAACTTTCTAATTAGGTTCCTTACATTGAAACAAGTGCTAAAGATCCTCCAGTTAATGTAGACAAAATGTTTCACGATATGGTACGAATTATCAGGTATGTTATAATAACAGTTCACATTACTAAGTAATGAACCAATAATGTTCTATAAATTAGTTCAGTGTCTGCGCCTCATCTTTTGTTCAACGGTGCTTCAATTACTATTTAGGCCTGGAATATTGTACATTACTATCTGCCTTTCGGCCCTGGTACGGCCGAGAGTGGGGAGAGTCCGCTCTCCCTCTCGAAATGCTCTCACATGGCCATGCGTATATAGCCTCTGCCAGAGAAGTCCTACTCACTGCCTTCTCGTGGCGGGGTAGCTGTTTACGAAAATGAGAGGACGAAAAGCGAATATCCGGCGCTTTAACCGGACCCCAAACCAATGGTGCACATGGGCTCCAGTATCCTGCCTGAGGGAACAAATGGCGTATGAACCAATCGTTGGTCACCGGCTACCATGGGACTGCATCTCCTCACGATGCTCCACTGCCTTGTGGGTCAGACGTTCAGGTCAAAGGCTCGGGGTGTGGCCCCCTAAGAAAACCACCTGCTTCGGTTTGGGCACCCGAGCAGTATCACAGCCCTCACACAAATCAATTGAGATTCGTGTTGCGCATATGTACTTGGTGCCTATCTGTATCTATACTTATGTGTTAAAATAAATAAATAAATAAGATCATTAAAATTAGTGTCATTCAAGTGTACCTGATTGGAAAAGTAAACCGACGTTGTACAACTGTACCCCCAACACTTATTTGGTTAAAGCTGGTTATTCACGGCACTTTTTACAATTATTTATCTTGAATAATTTGTTTGGTCTTTTTTGATGGACTATTTTTTATGAGATAAGATTTTTGCTGGAAAGTTGTTTCTATCAACAAAATCGCAGTCTCATCTACTCCACACATTCCTATTTTTATGTTTGAAGAGATTACGAAATCATCTAAAATCAGCGGACGGAACGACAGATTAGTGACACAACTCAAGTGTATTTATACAGTGTAAAAAATTGTCCTTGGATAATTTCACAAAATAGCATATTAAAAGAGCGAGAAAACCAATGATATTTATAATCTTTTCAAATGGGAAATACAATCTGAAAATAAAAATGGGCGCTTTTTTCGCGAAAATAAGAAATTCAAAATTTCAAAATTAAATTACAAAAATATGATGTCTACCAAGTGATTTCTGGGGATCTAGCATCCCAAACACATCTCTTAACAGCGTACGTTCTTGGGGTCCATCTTCATCTTGACCGTTTGTCATTGAAGTGACCACTTTGTGAAAAGGAGGTCGATTCGTTGTTGTACTTTTTCACGCGTAGGGACTGCAGGAAGGTTGAAGGTATCTAACAGATTTTCGAGTGAGATACTTCCTTCTGTTAATGGGCGATCTGGGGCTAGCCGTTTCCGTAGCTGTTTTCGGTGTTGAGTTGACTTGTCTTTTCCTACCTCTACTTTGTATATGATTTGGCCTAGCGTTCTGACCACACGTGCTTCAACCCAAGGACCATGGCTTGGTTTGTATTCCCGAGCAAACACCGGACATCTAACCTCGTACGTTGGCAGTTCCTGGGACTTAGTCTGTGGTGGTAAGTTTTCCGGAATCATCAGTTTGTGGATCGCTCTCAATCTTATGATGATGCCTGCTTCAGACTTGTGTCGTGGTGGCATATCATTCGGTGTCGTTCGACAAACGAATAAGAAGCTTTGTAGTGTTTCGACTGGCATCGCTTCCTCTTCTGACTTCAGCAGAGCCCTCTTAAACGTATCCACAAACTCTTCTGCTTGACCATTTGACTGTGGGGGGTAAGGAGATGAGCAAAAATGTTAGGTAGCTAACCGTCGGCAGAATTCTTGGAGCCGAATTTGATACGATTACATCAGGTACTCCGTTGCGGAAGGAAATCCGTCAAGAGTTGCATCGTTTTGGACGCTGGTAACATGATGGGGAGGATTCCCGGCCGTTTTGGAAACTCAACTATATAAGTAGTTCAATTGATTGGACCAACGAAGTTGACATGTCTCCTGGATCAGGGATACTCGAGCTGTGGCCTTGAAACCGGCGGTATTTTGGTGTTAAACTTCGCCGCTTGCTGACACTGCGTGCATTTGCCTACCAACTCCATGATGTGCTGACCCAATATACATAACTTCTAGCTACGGGTTTCATTCATTTTACACCAGAATAGCCAGTACGAAACTGCTTCAGCATCTTTGACCGTAGGGTTTTTAGCACCACCACTCTCCAAACACCAAGCATTAATTCACAATAATAATAGAATTCAACTGAGATTTATGACTTAAATCTACCGACTAATCCATGTTTCTTTATCAAAAGCTAAAAGTATTTAGTAAGTCATACGTAATTTGACTTCGAATTCAACTCAAACGAACTGAATTTTTATAGGTTATTTTTCTCATAAATTAATACAATTTAATGAAATGATAAATTATTTCTACTTTATTTTGTTTATTGAAATACACCTTTGAAGTTTTTGTTTGGTTTTGTCAATTTCGATGGCACTTTAGCCTACTAATAAATTTGTGTTTTCAAATACTTAAAAATTAAGTTAACTTTTCTGGTTCCAGTCAGCTATATTCAACATTGAACCTGGTAGGAATAATACATCGGTTAATCAGTCATACTATATCAGTTACGGAGAGATAAAAATAATAAGAGGAATATCGAAGGAGTCGGTATATTCTATTGATATCAATGATAATCATGAGGAAGACTAAATAATGTATTTTGATTATGGTTATTGGTCATTGAAGCAAAAACATTTCATTATATAAGCGCTATTTCAATGTTTATTAAGAGTGTAGGTCATTTATTAAGTATAGATTTATGTACTGAGCTTTAAGTTTTCCTATCTGTGTAGAAAAATTAATGCTACTACTTCCCGGTATTCCAACGCGAAATGATCAATGTAAATTTTAAGTCTATTGATGACACAGATTCGAAGTCTTTAACTAATCAATCTACTGTTTTGTTTCAATTGTTTAGCTTGATAAATGACTGTGACTAGATAAACTAATGAAAATAAACTATTTGATTCATAAAATTGATTATTTTGATTTCATGTTTTTTTTTTCAGAAAACTGCCGCCACCACAATTAATCTCGAAAGGTGATCGTAAAAAAGTTCGTTGTTTGTTATTATGACATGTTCGTTAATGTGCAGGCTATTTAAACTTTTCTCATATACTTAAACAAAGCGTAATCATCTTCAGTGCCTAGGTGCTTCTTCAATATTCGATGATATCAATGATAAAACATCTGTATACATCCTGCATACCCCCACCCTGCCTTCTTTTATCCTGTTTCCTTCCTAACCGATTCACAATGTGCTTCTAGATGTCTAAACAGATATGTAAAATGAAAATGTTAATGATAGTATTCCAGTGAATTTAGCTAAAATATCATATCAGTTAAACCTGTGATTTGGTATTTACTTTCTCCTACTCTTCACTACCTTCAATCTCCAGGTTTTTTTAAACATCTACTACTAATATTTTTGTTATATGCTTTGAAACGATTGCATTAATGCGGTGTTAAACAGTAACCATAATAATAATAACAACAACCCGAATTGCGCCGATTCCACCTACTTAACCACTTATTTTCCCCCATCATATTAAACATACATACACAAACACTGACATTTTGTACAGGATTTGCTTCTATATTTTATTTCTCTGTAAAACAAGTTTTTTTCCTAACTGTTATCGGTTATTATACTTGTACCTTCCAATTTTGCACTATTGTATCAAGTCTTGCATACGACCACACTAAAGTGGTATTTTCGAATAATGTTGAACTTTAATGCTTCAGTGGTTCCTACGTGATATCTTGCTTCTAGTAATATGTATTTGGCTGTTCGTATGGTTTTTATACTTACCTGATCATTTTTGTACTTATTCAATACTAATGATGAAATAGTTCTACGTTGTGACCGACTGAAAGATGTGATACTAAAATCAACAGTAGTAATAATAACATTAAGAAGTGTACGCCTGTTTTTTTCTGTCAGAATCATTTATTTAGGCTAATACAACCACTTTTTGTAAATCTTTTGTTTTCTCTACAATTTCTGTTTGCAACATACACATCTGTAACTGATTAAGCTTTTGTTTTATTCTTTGCAAGATGGTCGTGTATATTTCCACTCTGAAAACGTCGATCAGCTTGCTGTCAAACATTTGTGGCTTGATACTCATCCAGTTCTCAGCGTCTTTACATCGTAAATATAAGTTCTTCCTTCTTTTTTCTGTACCTTTCCGTTTCTATATTTATGTATCCCCTTTTGTCTTTCCTATCTATAATCCGTCTCGTAGGTGTTGTACATTCTACCTATTGATTACGTTGATAATGTTTTTCTACCATGTTATTGTTACTGATATGGTAATTGTGTTGCTTATTATCATCTACTGGGATGCTCTTCGTTAGTTTAACCACCTATTTTAACTTCAGGGTATTCAGTATTCATGTCCATCTGGCTAAATTTTTCAATGCTGTCCATTTAGAAGAGGGCTACATATCAACGACCTTGTAAACAACTGATTACGATACTTTCCAAAGGAAATGGATAAGTGTTTAGTTGTATATTGTGATTGATTGATTATTTATTATTCTGCCTCAAATTCTTCCTTATTAAATTACACTAAGAAAACTTGAGTGTTTATATAAAATTACAATAACCCAAAATGTAATCGTGTCTCATAGAAGTCCATTTGATTTCCTGAAAAAAAACTACCTAAAATCATGTTTATTTTGAAGATATGTTTATATACAGGTAGAGTACTTACGTCTTCATTGTAATCAACGTTTAAGACATTACGATGGACTAGTTACTATTATTGGAGATTTCAGGAAACGTCTGAACTCAGTGTTAATTCTTACTGAGATATCCTAAGCTTGTCTCTTATTGTGACATGCACCATAGAAATAGGAATCTCAAAAATGGTAGGAAAATATGTAGTCAAAGGATCGTTTAGGTACTAGGGCAGCAGATAGGATAGAATACATTTGCCATTTTACCTTCTTCAACCTGGTGCATCAATCCTACTGTATGATTGGAAAACAATACCCAGAGCTTTTTTGTGAAGTTACCAAAATTGGCTAACTATTGAACTTTTTAAGTTGGCTAAGTATATCTATTTTCTAGTCGGTGAGCTTGTTTCGTATTCTATTTTACATTTGAAAAGATTTTTTGTGCTATTCTAAGTTATATGCACTTGTCCGTATATTTGATAAAAAAACATGTATCTGTAGGCTTTTTCAATGGTTAAATCCTACCTAGTATATATTTGTAGGAAACTTCATTCATATCCCTTACAATCCTAAAATTACTAATGATTTTTCAAAGCTTGTAAATTATGACCGAGAAAAATCCCCAACTTTTATATGGTTGTGCTGCTTAAAATTCAAAATTAATGTAAGTAACCGGCAGGTTTACTTAGCACTATACTTAGTACTTCAAGTAAACTAGTAGTTCTTGTTTGATTTTCGATATATAGTAGTAAGGTATTACAGTTATATTTTGCTTTTTGTCGTTCAAGGTACAGTCGACTCGCAATCACTTTTTTGCGTCTTACCTCGTGCGCACGTATATTTGGTGCCCCCCTGTACCAATATTTGTGTTCAAATAAATAAAATAAATACCTCGTGCGTAAAACATCAGACTTTCCAAACAACATGCTCAAGGAGGATTGTTGGAGAAGCGTGGATATGTATTTTTTCCACTAGGTACACTAGACTTAAATATTTCAAACAAGTCCTTTCTATTTTGGCGTAAGGGATTATAGACTTCTGAGCATCGTGATTTACATCAAGAACATGCTGCACTTGAACAACAATCAAGAAACACTAGGTGATTGTTTCGTCCTAGTATGGGCTCAGCAGTGTGCATCGATGAATTCGCCGCGGTCAGACCAAAAACCTTCAGTTAGTGCCTAGTCATTAAGCCCTTATGGGATGGTATACATTTTCAACTTCAATTAATTTGCAGTATTGCACAACTGTCTCCCAACTACTTCATTCGACACGTTCGAGCTCCGCTGGTCACTAGAACTCTATGAATTACATATCGAGATCGGCCACTGGTAAGGACATGATTTTTAGTAGTATTAGGGTAAGCGGTTTGCAGGGATTGCTGAGTTTTGAAGTGTACAACAAAAACTGAGATTAATTAGACAACTGTTGAAAATCAGGGGGTATGTTACTGCATATTACGCGGATTTCGAATTTAGCACCCGATCTCATAACTATCATACAAATTTCTGTACAATGACACAGGGTTGTTAACAGATAAGAACCTAGTCTACATAAAGAATATATTATTTGGTAAAATATTTGTGTATTCGTTATTTTATGAACCTTCGAGCTCAGTGTTTTTACACCGTCGTACATTTATTTTCATTGTTTTCTATCCACTTTTTGGTGAGTCTAATACCATCTTTAATGTGAAAATGCAAACATATACTTGTATAGTATTTCATGTTATTACGTAGTCTAAAAATATACTGACCGAACATAACATGATATCTTTGTAATCATACTGAAAATCAGGGGAAGATAAAAACGGGAATATCGAAGAAATAAGTTGATGTCTTAAAATTATCTGTCGAGTAATTTTTGACGCACCACATGTAGTCTTTGCTGTCCAGGCGCCAATATGTGGTGTGTATTCAAAATATGGTTTTTTGAATTCGGGTGGCAGAGGGTCGATACAAAAATTGTGGGTTAACTTTCAGAAAAAGTGATATTATTTACTGGATTGTATATTGACATGTTTACCTAATAGAAAACAAGTAATTAAGTTGTAATAAAATCGTTGTAGACTAAACGCTTTACCTAATTTTCTTACTCATTATTTCAAAAGGATATGGTTGGATGTCTCGAAATACATTAGTAACTTGTAATTTCCAATATCCCATTTTTGTTTTCATTTATAGACTTTTTGAGCTTTTCATTGTTTACTGAATTCTCATCTAGAATTCCCACACTAACTTATTTGTTTAACTTGACATTTTATAGTCTTTCTATATTTATTGTTATCTGGCTAATCTTCGTTGTTATGACATAAAATATGTACATTGATTGCAGTGAATTATTATTTCTAGGCTGTAAGGAGCTGAAGAGAAATCACGAAATAAATTCATCATATTTTACTACGTCTGTTGTTCTTGCCCTAGACATACACAATTTCCGTCAGTCAGCTACAACGTAGGACCAGGCATACATATGCATTGGTCCAAGTTGCCACATCTCATTAGCACAACAAGATGAACCCCAAATTCATAGAAGTGGTCACTTCAATGGTAGTAATATATAAAAGAAAGATTGCATATAAAAATAAAATAAAGGGAGAATAACTTCGCAGAAAGAAAGGTATAGAGTAATTTTAATCTCACGGCTTAAAAGAAGACGCAGAGTGTATATACCCAAGCAATTGTGATCGATCATGTGCCATGTCACCAAGAGTCTCCAAACATTGGTTATGATAGTAACACGAACCCTAACCAAGTAGTCTGCATCTACCAACATGGCTCAGACTAGGAATTACTGTATTCAAGCACTGATGCCACGTTTTGGTTTGGCCGCAACCAACTTTCTTCCATCAATCTCCAACACTAGTCAGCATTGCGCGTCGTGGTAAACGGTGTTCAGGCATACGTAGCACGTGGCCCAACCATCTCAGTCAATGAAGATTTACAACCTCATCAACTGATTTACCATCATTCTGTAATACTCTGCGTCTAACCTCACTATTACTTACCCGGTGATCCCAACAGATGGGAGCAATATTTCTAGGACATCTGTGACCAAATACTAGCAACTTACGAGTATTTTCTACTCCTAATGGCCGTAAGTAAAATAGGACGAACTAATGCGCAGTAAGAGTTGCGTACAAAAAGAAATTTTCATTTGCATATTTCATAAATTAAGTTGTAGATCTTATGATTCAGGGCATAGAATTTCATTGTTACGGTTGACTTGAAATGAAAGTATCAAATGCCCACAAATCGCATATACAGTGTATTTAGCTTTAGATTATCTGAATGTACTTAATTAATCGTAATCAGCACAGAACCTGGCAATGTGAATGAGCTTGTTGCCATAGAAATTAGTATAACGAGATAAAATTTAACAGGATTTGAATGCCTAAAATATCAGAGTTGCTGCTACGCAGCTAAGGCTTGATGGAGTGAACATTCGAGTCTCAGCAGTTCAATGACACATTTGAATTCCGCTATATTTGTTTGCATAAATAAGTTTTACCTTTATCCATTCGTGGTTAGTTCAACGATATACTTGTGCTTTGCATAAATCTTAGACTTAAGGAACAGTGTGTTCAACTGTGACTTGGGAAAAATTGCTTTGGACACACTCCGTAGGATCCTCCCATATTATCTTCTAATATCTTGTTAAATACATAAGTATGGCTACCAGCCGGTTATGTAACAAAATCGCATGGATTTGCTTTCAGAAACCTGAGTAAAAATATCATCTTTAAATTTTGTAAGTTAATAAGATTCTAGACAAAACAAACTATTAGTAGATATATGAGAACTTTTGTCTAAATTTGACTGAATAGTTTCACAGTATTTGGGCGCCGAATTGATGTGAGACATTAAACATATCATCCATGTTACTCAATAATCGTTTCTCAACATAAAGAATTGACTGGTGCTTAAAATTGGACTATTAGAATTCAACTCGGGAAATATGTGATACGCTAAGATAAAAACAAGAACAAGACCACATATGTAACTCATTGTGGTTTTTGTTCGATATTATTTTAGTTTGTAATTCAACATGATAATTAATCAGCACTATATTTGTTTTCAATGTGATATTAATTTACAATAATTGTCATTGTATTACATTCGGTGTAGTACGTATTTCGAGTTTTTATAGTAATGCTATGTGTTTTCCTTTATGTATGATAATTATTAACTAATCAATAAGTGTTAGTAAAATCAACATATGTGTATTTTTGTCTAAGGACGACGTGTTTTAAGGACATTTAGGCAATTAATAAATCTTTATGTTTGCACTACTTATCGTGGGGAATGGTAAGATTCTCGTTTTCAAAGCATAAGTAAACATACTACAAAAAAGCTTAAAACAATACCTAAATGTTCATGGTTAAATGTGTTCAGACGCTGTGTGTACCGATTAAATATCGTAAATTAGGAGAAAAAGAGCTATAACTAATTTCATCAAATATGTAATTCAGTTAATTCATACAAAGAGAAAGCATAATATATTTATGTTTCTTACATATATATCAGTCAGTAAGTAACAACGTAGAACTTCGTACATACGTACATCACTTCGAGTTGCCATGACACATTAGCACACATACAATTGTCGATTCAAATCCCGTAGTGGTAGATGTGGTAAGAGTACAAGCAGTAATCGGAAACAGGGTTTGAAGACGTTATTTAGGGAATATAATACAGTAAAATAAGTTTGAAAAGAGAAAAAAGGGATATAAAGAATTCAGAAGATTAGAATTTGGGAGAACACAAAGAGTGGATGCACCTGCACCATTGCAAACGATTTTGAGCCATGGCACTCAAGGTCTCTAACCATCGGTTGCTATCATCTAGCGGATCCCAAACAGGTAGTCTATATCTACCATCATGGCTCAGTCCACTTGTCAGTGACTTCGTGGATTTGTGTCATGTTTTGGTCTGACCGCCCCTAGCTTGCTATATACAAACATGTGTATCATTTAATGAATTATATCACTTTTCAAAATGATAAACAATAATTTTACTTTAATGATCATTCAAAATTTAAATTAAATGTATTCAGTATGTTTGTTTAAAAAAAAAGAATTGTAATAATTCAAAAGCTGTAGAAATTAATATCGTTTAAGTGTTCTAGTTGTTCAATTAAAAATATCATTGAAAAGTTACGACAATGCTGTAATATAGAAAGAGAGAATAAAACAACAACTAAATTTCAGATATTTGTTTCATCCTAATAAATTTAAATCTAAGAAATATTTTCGGCAAGACTATAACTTCTGAATGAACTAATCAGATTTAAGATATAACGGATCCTAGATTTTAGCGCGAAATTCATTCAACTATTTGGTTAAGCGTTTTTGATATTTTACCTAATATCAGTAATGTGAAAACCTTTAATTTAATTCTTGTCTCTAATCATCAACTCTTATTTAGTTTTAATAATATTGCAATGTCTGTTATTATATTGAGCCGTTATACCTTATTCTAGCTTCTGGACAGGTCAATTTATCCATTCTTCTTGAGTTATGTCTTAACCTTGTTAATTATTCACTTAACTCAGACTGTTTTGATATGAACGTATGTGTATGTACATCTTATCCTTTTATTTATTTATTTTTAACACATAAGCATTTGTACAAGGAGGCAACAAATACATATGCGCAACACGAATCTCAATTGATTTGTGTGAGGGCTGTGATACTGCTCGGGTGCCCAAACCGAACCAGATAGTTTTCTTAGGGAGCCACACCCCGAGCCTTCGACCTGAACGTCTGACCCACAAGGCAGTGGAGCATCGTGAGGAGATGCAGTCCCATGGTAGCCGGTGACCAACGATTGGTTCATACGCCATTTGTTCCTTCAGGATACTGGTGCCCATGTGCACCATTGGTTTGGGGTCCGGTTAAAGCGCCGGATATTCGCTTTTCGTCCTCTCATTTTCGTAAACAACACCCCCGCCACGAGAAGGCAGTGAGTAGGACTTCCCTGGCAGAGGCTATATACGCATGGCCATGTGAGAGCATTTCGAGAAGGAGAGAGGACTCTCCCGACTCTCGACCGTACCAGGGCATTTGGGGGCTATCTTATCCTACTCATTACATATCTGTAGCTTATTTTTATATGACTATAAATATCGATTAACGTTTGGTTGAATGGAGTTAACTCATATGCCATCACTGCGCATCATTTCGCTTCGCTCTCTTCTCTTCGATTCTCTAATCTTTTGTCTGGATAAAAGATTGTATGAAATACACGTATTCGAAATTCATTCTTGTATTTGACTTATTTAATCCCATTATTCACTAACATGGACTAAGTCTAATAATTATATACGAGAATATTCAGAATATATATTTCGATAGCAATCATTCAATAACGATCATGTGTCCAGTCTAAATAGAGTCAGATCTAGGGCTACAAATGTGTTGATCCCATCGACAAAATTGTCCGATCTAATTGACATCAAAATGAAACACCCCTCAAAGTCACTTTAGAGTCGTTCATAAATTTTCTCAATTGTAAATGAAATGAAATTCTTTCCGGAAACAAGAAACCGAAATATATTACTTATTCAATTTAATCTCATTAATTGTGATTTAAAATTTACATTAATACAAATATTTCTAGAATTATTTACTAAATTATAAGCATTATCATATGAATAATTATAAAATTTAATTAAATAAGCAATTATAATAGATGGTGAACGTGAAATACCAGCTTCACAATGTATAAAACAACAACCATTAGTTTGTTTTACAATATTTAAAAAATTAAAACAATCATTAATAATATCATTTAATTGAAATGTTAAATCATCATAAACAATAAGTGATAAATAATGAAAATATTCAGGAAAATAATTTGGTATTATATTTGAAATAAGATTAATTATATGTGTCACATTATTAATTTTTAATAAATTTAAATTTTGAGCTACATCAACTGAACCTAAAATAAGAAAACATGTAAACATATACATAATCAATTAACAACAATGTAGAACTTCGTATATACGTACGTACATCGCCCACAAATGCTATGGTACGGCCGAGATTGGGGAGAGTTAGCTTTCCCTGTCGGAATGCTTTCACATAGCCACGCCTATATAGCCTCTGCCACGGAAGTCCTTCTCATTGCGTTCTCGTGGCGGGGGTGTTGTTTATGAAATTGAAAGGATGAAAAGCGAATATTCGACGCTCTAACCGCGTTGGTGGACATGGAGATTCTACCTAGGGGAGTCGAAAAACCTTGATTCCAAACCAATGGTGCACATGGGCTCCAGTATACTGAGGGAACAAATGGTATATGAACCAATCGTTGGACGCCGGCTACCATGGGACTGTATCTCCTTACGATGCTCCACTGCCTTGTGGATCAGACCTTTAGGTCGAAGGCTCCGAGTGTG